TCAGCGTGCTGTTAGAGACCCAGAGGTCGTATTCGACGTCCTGCCACAGCTTGTGCATATCGATATGCCCAGTGTCCCGCTGCCAAAGTCGATCAGCCGGACGCATAGTCCAACTGTTGTACTTGCGCTGTACACCAATGGTGATGGGCTGCATCGCGCGCTTGATAGCATAGTACGCTGGCTTTGGCACCTTGTAGTAGTCCACCACAGCCCACGACATCGTTGGCCAACAGTCGTTCAGCTGCCACACCAACGCACCGCCACACTTGCGATCACCGGCTGACCCCCATTGGCGGCGCCAGGACTTGTAAGCCCACGACATCGCATCTGCTTGCATGACCTGGGTTAGATGCGTATACCCTTTCAAAAGGTACTGAACCCGGAAGTTCTCAGAAACGTAGCTGATGAGACGTCGCTCATGACCAATGGCTTTGTTGCGGAAGTCCATGGCCATTGAGCCAGGGTGGAGGTCGTGCTGATCGTTGATGCACATCTCAAGAGTGGAAACATGGGGATATGCTTCCATGCCAAACTCGGATACGAAGCGACCGCCCATATCCGGCAGTCTTTGGTATGGCTCCATGGTACCGTGCCACATATTCCACTGGTGAACATCGCCGATTGTAGGATCCAATCCTAAGACCGTCGACTTGCCATCACCGAAGGGTGAGCTGGGGTGGTAGGGTATATCTGTACATTCTTCTGCAACTACCTTTGGCAGAAGATGCTCGTAGATGTAGCGGGCTGGGAAGTCGGTCTTGAGCCAGGATTCCGGATCTTTGTCGTCAGGGTCATATTGTAGTTTGTATCGTTCGACGATTTGGTAGTCTTCGTTGTTCCCTGCCCACACCACTAGGCTTGGGTGGTTTCTCAGCCGTCTGGCATTCTGTCTTGCTTCGGTCTCCACACTTTTCAGGTACTCGGGGTAGGTTGGGTAGTTGGCACATGCGAACATGAAGTCTTGCCATATTAACACGCCATATTCATCAGCGGCATCGAATAGCGCATCCGCTTCGTAGATACCGCCTCCCCATATCCTCAGCATGGTTTGATTGCCGTCAGCAGCTAGCTTCACCCACTCGCGGTAGTCATTAGGTTTGAGCCGTGTGAGAAATGAGTCGGCCGGTATCCAACACGAGCCTCCGCAAAAGATGTCGACATCGTTGATGCGGAAGTACAAAGAAGTGCCGTGTGCATCTGGCTCTTTGATCAGCTCAGTGCGGCGAAAGCCAAACTGCTTGGATATGAGATGGATAGGGTCCGCGACACCTTGTACAATGGCTTCTGCTCTAATGGTGTAAAGACTTTGTTGCCCATAGCCTCGCGGCCACCAGAGCTCGATATCATCCATGGTTGCAGTAGTTTCAAGGGGACTCTTGTGATCATTGATGGTAGTGCGTCCACCGACGTCAATGTCTTCCCCGTCCTTGGAGACCATGAATAATATACCCGTGGTCTTACCCTCCCATTCGACACTCATCTTCAATTTCGCGGACTTGAGATCCTGTGACAGTTCGTACTGCACATTTAGGGCTGATAGGCGGCATTCCCACGTCTCAATCGATACTGGCTTCCAAGGTCCACATGTCATGAGGATAGGGCCCCAATCCCAACCCCAATGGTACTGGGCTTTACGAACAGGCCCTCGCGAGATCTCTGTCTGGTGTACGATGAAGCGGTGTTCTGGATGCTGTTCCACCAATTCAAGGCCCTTCTTGCGTGCTGACTCGAAGACAATTTCCAGCACGTTGTCCTCAGCCTGGAGCTTGCCTGAAACGTCGATCCGATGCTCAATGAACATGTTGTCAGACTCCAGAATTACCTCGTCGTTCAAAAAGACGGCAGCAAAGGTGTCGAGACCTTCAAACCGAAGGGTGGTGGCCGCGTTCGCCTTTCCGTAGTCGGAAGGCGCAGCAAAGGTCGTGCGATATACCCATATCTCATTGCCGACCCAGCGCACTGCTAGCTCATTGAGGTCATGAAAGGGGTCTGGAATCTTGTCGTGTTTGAGTAAGTCGCGATAGACTTCAGTTGGTGCATCGCAGGCCGGTAGGTATTCGTTAGTCGAGGAACGGTCGCCCTGCTTGAACGTCCAACCCGTGGTTAGCGGCGATGAGGTGTACGGAACAGGCGTCATTTTGTCCCTTAGTTGTAGACTAACGATAAGCCTGACCGATGTGACAGCTAAATGATGGACGTTCGGTGGTTGTTGCCCCGCGGGTAAACACATGCGGGGTACCTGCCCCTCAAGATGCTTGGGTGAAACGCTGATCAATGACTGCGGAGCTTTCTTCGTCCAGCACAAGCGTAGGCACGGCCATACTTACGGATGTATATTAGTGGCCGATGTATCCCGCCGCGACAATGCGCCTGCGTCACGTCCTCTCGTATCCACCTCTTCCACAGACTCGCAGCGTTAGGTGGAAAGTACAGAGTTGGGTAAAAAGTACGAAGTTAGGTACAAAGTCCAGGTTTGGGTAAGAAGTAAAGGGTTAGGTAGAAACTACAGAGTTGGGTAAAAACGAGATAGTTGGGTAAGAAGTAAAGAGTTGGGTAAAAACGACAGAGTTGGGTGAGAAGTATAGAGTTGGGTAAAAACGACAGAGTGAGGTAGAAACTACAAAGTTAGGTAAAAATTGCAGTTAATACCTAGGTAAAAAGCACACTTATACCTAAGAAGAAAGCATAGTTAATACCTAACTAAAAAGCATGCCTAGAGCGTTTATACCTAAGTAAAAAGTGTAGTTAATACCTAGGTAGAAAGCATAGTTTATACCCAAGCAGAGAGCACGTAGTTTATACCCAAGTAAAAAGCATGGAGTTTATACCCAAGAAAAATGCGTGTAGTTTATACCCAAGTAAAAGGCGTGTAGATGATATCGAGGTAGAGATCGCATGAATCGTACCGAAGCAAAAAGAATTTACTCAGGCGGAAATTCTAAGCGCTGTTCAGGATCTCAAAGCCTACAAGATCCGGTCCAAAACTGTCTCCGTACCCTCGGAACTCGATCATGTTCTCTGTACCCTCCACAAAGCCATCAAGCTCTATCTGCAGTCGTAGACTCTCCTCCCAATCACCACCAGAGAGAGGGAAGGCCCATCGCTTCGCCTCAGCACCATTGACTGCGATGGTCATGTTACGTGTGTTGTCGCCCCATTCCCATGCAGTGGTAAATGCATAGTGGTAGTTGACGAAGTCGATACCCATGAGGTTCTTGCCAGTGGACTGAGAGCTGACGTTGGCAAACATGACGCTGCTGGCGCGGCCGATGTACTCAATCTTCGAGCCAGTGGGAAGGCATGCGCCGGACGCGCAGGAGAAGTTGTGTGCTGGTCCGGAAAGCGACGCATTAGCAACGGAATGGTACGAGCCGGAGGTGAGAGGGGCGGCTGCGACGATGTTGGATAGAACCCATAGCCGCAGCTCATGTCCGGCCAAGTCAGCCGTCTGGGCACCAGACAAAGTACCAAGATCTTTCGCAGCCCAGACATCGCGCACATCAGCCGAAGCTATGCCCAGTGTTGCCAGATCAAAGTCTACGGCTTGGGAGTCGTTCTTCCAATTCGCGACTCCCAACACCTGCTTAGATCCCGAGAGTTTTCCCATCCAGATATCCCACTCGTTCTCAGTATCGCGACGGACCAACATGGCTTGCTGAGCAAGTGGGTCTTGATTGATGGCAATGACTTCCTTGTTCGAGAGGATGTCTAACGAGCTCTGACTAATACGTTCGGGATCGAGGGCGGCGCCGATGATGAGAGGAGACTTGTTGATAGCCCACATGCCAAAGTGGAAGCGCTCTTCCTCTTCAGAAAGGGCATTCAGGCCCACGCTAGACTTGTCAGTTGACGACTCCAGATACAGCTCATTCTACTTACGTCAGCATGTCCATGTCTGCAAATGCACCAGCAGTGGTATGCCTGAAGTATGGGACGACCTGATTGGTGATCCGCCAGATGCTGCGCCAGCCATTGTAGATGTCGTTGCTGATTCGCCAGGTGTTGCCAACCTCAGCAGCCCAGTCACCGACGTCAGTGCCAATTCCCCACTGGCAGACGTAGTAGTGTATGTCGCGGTCTACCGCATCTAATTCGGCCGCCATGTGTTGAAAACGTGCTGGTGATTGAGCTTCTGCGGAGCTAGAGTCGACCATCGTGGTGTTGGAAGTAGAGTAGCAGTTGTCGTACCTGCATAACGTTAGCAAGGGCGAAAGCGTATTGAGGAGGCTTGTGATCATACTTAAGGCTATCTCCGCCCCACTCAGCGAAACTCTCCGCATCTAGTTGTTCGTACCCCAGACTCGCAGGTAACGATTCTGACCCGCACTGTAGATACCCAGCGCCAGAGTAAAGACCAAAGTCCAGACCCAGGTCATGGAGATAATCTCCGAGTGCCTTGCCACCAGATGGGAAGAGGGTCTCATTCCATTGAAGTCTCCCCTCTTCATCTCGATCATGGGCGTTCCAGCCGCAGTCGACTGTCACGAAATTGTAGCCAGCGTTGCTAAGACCGAGGTCGATGAGGCCATGAGCACTCTCGTGAATCTTGTCCTCAGAGGGCAAGCAGTTCCAGGTGTTGTACGAGTTCCATCCCATAGGAGGTGTGGGTGATCTGACTGTTTTGGCTGCTGCTTGTAGGGCAAGGCATGCCGAGAGCAAGATTGTGGTAGCCATTGCGATGCGAGCTTGATGGTGAGAACTGCCAGTCTGCGCACTCGTTTTCAATCGCCCATCACGAGCTCATAATATCCGGTGGTCGCTGTGCTGCATACTGGATGACCTCACAGCAGGCAGCGTTTCCTGGCTACGGGGGCGGGCGACGGAGGAATTGGTCGCGATGCATCATGTTGCACGTCTTGGCCTGCACCGTTTGACATAGCGCACCAGCTCAAGGGAGTGATCGACAGCTGTACGAGATGCGTGTACAGGGATAGTGTGTTTGTATTCTGGGGTTGGGGTGAGGAGAAGGTGGAGGTTTGCCGGCGGACGCGTGACGAGCGATGGCCGCGAGCCGGAAGGCGCCAGTCGGAAGCCTTACCCCGCCAGACTTCGCGCGACCAGCCTCGCCCAAGCACCAGCTCGGCGTCATGTCCGGAGAGATTACTGCCTCACCCCCAACGCGACTCGGCGATGCGGAACTGGGTAAAGATGCTGAAGAATCCAGGTGCGACGACGCGCCTGCACCAAGCCCGCTCGAATATACATCCTTCACGCAGTCGCAGCGGCGGCGACTACGGCCGCTTCTTGGGTTGGCAGCTATCACGTCACCCTTGACCGCGACCATCTACTTCCCCCTTCTTCCCCTGCTGCGCACACAGTTCAGTACTACAGCGCAGGCTATCAATCTTACAATAACCCTCTACATCATCTTCCAAGCCATTTCACCCGTCATATTCGGACCACTGTCTGATGTTCATGGCTGGCGACCCTACTTCCTGGCCACTCTGGCCCTGTACGTCATCGGTAACTTAGGATTAGCTCTTAACAAGCGCAACTATGCTATTCTCTTAGTCCTGCGCGCGATACAGAGTCTCGGGGCCAGTGCAGCGTATGCCATCAGCTTTAGTGTCGTTGCAGACGTCTGCGTGGCTAGCGAACGAGGGCAGATGCTAGGCCCAATCAGCATGGCCATGAATCTGGGCACTTGTGTAGGTCCAGTCGTAGGAGGCGTCGTGGCACACACAAGTGGAAACATCAATTGGGTATTCTGGGCCCTGTTCATTGTCGGCGTAGTCTTGCTGGTCGGCGTAGGCGCGCTCCTCCCCGAGACGGCCCGCAACATGGTCGACAATGGCAGTGACAAGTCTAGATACCAGTGGTGGCAGTACAGCTGGGTAGGCCTCTTACGAGAGCGGATGAAGGTCAAAGCAGCAAAGAGACTGAATGAAGACGGTGCGACTGCAATTTCATCGGCGGCAGCCCCATGCCAGACGACTAAGCGGAAGTACGGACTATCTAACTTGCTCGCCTGCTTTCGCATCATCTTCTATAGGGACACGTTCCTCACCTTATGGGTTCACGGATCGTTCTACACAGTGGACTACTGCTTCGTTGCAGCGGGTCCAGACATCTACAAAGATATATACCATTGGAATGAGCTTTACATTGGCTTATCGTACCTTCCGCGTGGCATTGGCACCATTGCCGGGGCCTACTTTACCGGAAAGATGATGGACTACAACTACTGTGCCGTTGCTCGCAGCATCGACTGGACCATCGACAAGGTATCTGGTGATGACCTCCTGAAGTTTCCAATCGAGCGTGCAAGGACAAGATACAGCTACGCCATGCTAATGATATCGACAGCGACCATGATCGGCTATGGATGGACTGTCCAATATCACGCTCACCCGGCTATACCATTGGTCCTACAGTTTTTGCAAGGTTTCTGGGGTTGCTACGGCTACACGACGTTCAGCACCTTGCTAGTGGATTCTTTCCCTCAAAGTCCAAGCACCGCCGCAGCTGCTACGAGCATCACACGCTGCGCCATGGCCGCGACAGGAGTTGCGGTCTTAGAACCATTGCTGAACGCAGCTGGTAGAGGATGGTACTTTACGGCTCTAGGCCTGTAGAGTGGCATACTGTCGGCCTTGTGCGTCGCCCTGCTACAATGGAAGGGCATGTATTGGAGACAAATACGGAACAGTCGCGTAAATCAGAAGTGATCACTGGTCTCTGGACCGATTGCAACCATGGAGACCAAGGCTGGAAACTGAAGCATCACTGATAAGCTTCCCAATGATTTTGTATGAGAGCAGATCATAATACAATGTCTATATGCTAGCATCCAAAGCACTTACCCCAAGCGGTTCGCCCTACACAGTATGATCCCGCTCAGATGACAGCAAAGCCATCTCAGCCTTATGTAGTGTTGGAGGTCTCTCGCCTTCTGGGAAAGGCGCGTATCTGTCGATGAGAAAGAGCATATGGTTGTAGGCGCTTTTAGTGTGTTAGCTATGCCTTATCACTTCCTGCTCGACTCACACTTGGCGAATCGCTTTACCCTGGGCAACGTGGTTGACCGAGTAGATGACATTCCAGTAGATACTGTAGAGACGATTCCGATCGTTCCACTCCTCTTTCGGCTCGCTAGGCTCTTGGTACCTCAAATAGGTTTCCAAGTATACCTTGTTGCTGATCTTGTTGTAGTAAGGTCTCCAATCCGCCACTTCTAGCTCATTATGGGCGTAGAACGCAGCAGAGTCGAAAAGAAGCACATCACTGCCGTCAATGGCTGTACCGATGTTGCCTTCCCAGAGATCACCGTGAATCAAGCTCGGCTTGATCTTACGACCTTCCGTAGTAAGGGCTCCAAGCAGTCTCGGAATCACAAACTGAAGGAGTCGCTTCTCGGCCCTGTCGAGCTCATCCCAAGCTCCGTTCAAGTCGAAGTCGACATCGATGACATGTTGCAGGAGTTTGGTGAAGAATACTGTCCAGTCCTTCTCCCATGCTACAGACTGAGTCGCACGACCCTGGCATGTCGTTACATGGAATCCGTATTGACCAGTAGGTGAGATGCTTTCGCGATGAAGACGAGCCAGCTTCTCACACAGCTGATCAGGATCAGGCATTTGGTCGCTCATGTCGATGCACTGTGAAAGGAAGAAGTACGCCTCCGGTTCTTCATCTCGGTATCTTCCCCACGAGTGCGGCTTGGGTACGAGATACGGTGCCCATTTGTACAGGTTAGACATCGCGTTGAATTCACCTTCTATGAGGATATGACCATGAGCCTCTGAAGCTGACTTCAGGAAGTACCGTTCCTCGGCACCGTCGGGCAAAAGAAGATGCAGCCGGGCAGTCACGGTCCAGGATGATACTCCAAAGCGGTGCGCAGAGATGACCTTTGTACCCTTTGGAAACTTTACGAGAACGTTGTCGTCGACTTTGAAGTCTCCGTCGTAGACCAGGCTGTCCACGCAAGACTTGTCCGTGGGCACTTGCAGTGGAGTGGGTGTCTGCATCATGATCCGATATTGCGAATGCCCTGAGATGTCGGTTTCGGATTGCGATATAAGATAATCGTTCAAGAGGATGGTGTTGCAACATCAGCGAGATCTTGCAGGACTCTGCGGCACGAAAGCTACGCCACCAAATCATGTGACTGCATGCAGTCAAGAGGCACGTACCGCACGCGCCGTTTGTCAAGCATGAGCGGCGCAGTAGACGATCGGTGCTTAGTCGCGGTTTCTGCTAAGGTACAAGCGTTTTTACCTAAGTAAAAACTATTCTTTACCTAGGTATAAACCTTTTAACTTAGGTATAAACCTTTCTACTTAAATATAAACGTTTTAACTTAGGTATATACTCTTTTTCTTAGGTATAAACTCTTTTCCTTAAGTATTAACTCTTTTTCTTAGGTATAAACCTTTTTACTTAGGTATAAACTCTTATTCTTAGATCTAAAGTATTCTACTTAGGCATGCACTATTCTGCTTAGGTATTAATGTTTTTACCTAAGAAATTACTATAATATTAGTGTATACTACATACTTCTTAGGTAAAAAACCTTAATGCCTAGGTATAAACTATTAGACTTTTTACCTAGGTAAAGATTACTTTGTACCTAGAGAACTACTCTATACTTATTACTTAGGGAATAACTCAAGCTTAGGGCGACGTCTTCTCCGGCTAAACGTTTACTGCATAAACGCAATCGGGGACAGATCTCAAGCACAAGACCTTCAATCGCTGTTAATTAGAAGCAAAGACATCACACACAGAAGAAAGCGGCAGTGCAAATTGCTGCAAAGATGTTTTATATCAATCTATCTCGATAACGGCGTCAATCTCATCAGCTACGAAGATGCTGGCGGCTGAGGCCACTTGTCCAGCACGGTCTCCTCACCCGTGATCATAAGCTTCAGTTCAGCCTGCGTAGGCTCGTCAAGAAGCAGTGTGTACTCTCCCGGATATACGACCGTGTTGCCCATCTGGTCGACCCGCGCCAGCGTTCCAAGCGTAAGCGAGAGTGATGCCATCTTCGTCTGACTACCAGCAATGTCCCTCAATCGCGCGTATGAGACCAGTGTCTTGAGCGGGTATGGTTTTGGTCCAGCCTCGCCCTTGATGAAAGCTAGAGCGACGAAATCGGAAGTCATGTTACCCTTATTGGTCACCCCAATCTCCAGTGGCGCAACGCCGCACAGATCGGGATACATCTGCGAACAATCGCTCATGATATCCTGGATGTTGTAGGTGAGTCCTTCGCTGCTGCTGAAGTTCGCCGCAAATGTGGTGTAGTGCAAGCCAAAGCCGAATGGCTGTACGGATTGGTTGTACCAGCGGTAGGTGCGACCTGGACTAATGGCACCGGGGCGCAGGTTCATGTTCAGCATCGAGAGGTTGGTATAGCTTGCGGGGTATTGTGTGATTGGTAGACGACCAGCAACTGCATGCGCGCCAGTGATGACATCCATGACGGCCAATCCACCATCTTGACCAGGCCAGTTAGCCCAGATGACGGAGTTGACGCCTTCCATCGACAGTAGGGGAGAGTTGTCGACCATGTCGCCTAATACAACAACCACAAGCGGCTTTCCAAGCTTAGCAAGCTTGGTGATGAGTTCGACTTGCGCGCTAGGCCAGCTGATGTCGGTACGGTCGAAACCTTCTGCCGCTGCTGAAGTGTCTAGACCACCAAAGTAGATGATGTAGTCAGATCCTTCTGCCGCATTGAGCGCGTTCGTTGTCCAGTTATCGCGGGCACTGGAGTTCTGCAAAACAGGGCCAGTGACAATAGACATGTTCAATCCGAGCTGTTCACCAGCCCACACGGGGGTGCGCAGGTAGGGAGCAGGGCCGCTGTAGATACCGGACAACTTCGACGAGTCATTGGCCCAGAATCCGATCATGGCGACATTAGACCCATTGGAGAGAGCAAGAGGGAGCGTGTGGTCATTCTTCAGCATAACGAGACCTTCTGATGCGACTTGGAGAGAAAGTTGCTGTGCCTCCGGTGTGTTCACATCATCGATTCCTAGGTCTGCGTATATAGCTCCAGCACCGTCAAAGTAGCCAGCACGAACGAGACCCTCGTACTGCCGCGTGAGCGCCCTGTCAATAACGGTGACGTTCAAGAGTCCTTGACTCCAAGCTCCAGGGATATCGGAAGATCCTTCGTACTCGCAGCTGTTGTCCATGCCGGCGATGAAGGCGACTGCTGTACCTTCGGCGAGCGTATCTGTGTAGTTGTGGTTCTCGGAAATGTCAGCGACAGCCTCACAATCACTGGTGATGTAGTTGTTGCTTTCTGTCCAGTTCCAGTGGTCGCGCAAGATGGTTTGTAGAACGTACGTATCGGCGCATGTAGGGACCCCGTTGACAGCGTTGTACGAGCACATGAACGAGCCGACTTTGGAGTCTCGCGCGCATTGCTGGAAAGGCGGCATGTAGTACTCCGCAAGGTCCTGCATTGTGATTTTGGCGTCAAAGTTGTGGCGATCGACGCCGCCCCAAGCCTCCATGTCGTAGCCAACGTAGTGCTTGCATGTCGCGATGATCTTCCTTTGAGCTTGGTCGCCCTCTAGACCAGCGAGCAGGCTCTTTGTGTAGCCCTTGATGCGCAGAATGTCTTCGCCTGGCGTCTCTGAGCCCCGACCCCAGCGAGGATCGCGGAATGGGTTGATGTCTGGAGTCCAGTAATCCACCGGAGCCACACCGCCATTGCCGAAAGCACGCGCCTCATTTCCGATGATATTGGCGATCTTGAAGATGAGATCGTCGTCAAAGGCAGCCGACATGAGTAATGGCATGGGGAAAGACGTGGCGTTCGTGAACGGTTCGGTGAAGTTGATTCCCGGGGCTCCTGCTACACCGTGCAATGCCTCACCCCACCAGTTGTACGCAGGAAGGCCCAGTCGCGCTACACCCCTCGATTTACTGCAGAAATCAGTTTTATGCAGTGATGAAGCTGCGATGGAGGCCTACCTCATCAAATTTTCGAGCTTCTCCTCATTTTCCATAGCCGCAACGAGGGCCATTGCCCGTTCCGTGGGCGCGGCATTGACATCGCAGATCTTGTTGTCTTTCAACGGGCCATTGACACAATCGGGACCGATCGCGTAGGTGGTCGATAAGAAAGTGGCGCCAAGAAGGAGAAGAATTGAGGCGGAATGCATCATGACTACACAGGTACGATGCGTACAGTACCGCTGCTAGACTGCCCTTACCTGTCACGTTGAGGCACCCGACCCTTTATTACTTTCACGACTCGAGGTGCCCAAGACCACCATGCAGCCAAGGATGCGAATTGATCCGGGCAGCAACCCAAAGACGCGCTATTTTACTCTCCCGTGAAGCCATAGTGAGGGTTGACCGTGCTACCCCGCGTGCCCGCGTATACGAGCCCCGGATCTGCATAATGCTTTCTCTCGATCGACCCGCGATAATAAACGACATTCAGCCACCGGGCTCAACGGAACATGATGCGCATGTCATATCACATCACTTCGCATGGATTTGCAGCAGTGTTAGTACCTCGGTAAAGTTTAAGCGACTGGTCATTTCGCGGTACGTAAAAAAACGCGACGCGTCCACGGGTAGCTAGCTAGCAGAGTGGCTTCTTCCC